AACTATGACATTTTTTAAAAAAAGAATCAATAACTCTGCTTTTGTTAAAATATGGAATCAACAATCCCACTTTTTTTTTTTTAGAAAAAAAAGTGAGCAGTGGGAAGGTAAATGCATTCATGTTGGAATATATGAAGGCAAAAAAGGCTTCAACAAAATTTTAATATGAAATCGAAATATTATAAGCAAAGCTTTAAATGAACCAAGTTCAAAAGAACATATCACAAAACATACACAAAGTTCAAATTTATCTCTAATTACTATATGAAACTTTGGTAAACCACAACAAGTACCCGCATTATTTCTCATACAAGAGTGCTCCTACACCGTAGCAACATAGGAGGCTGCTATGATTTTGTTGTTGTTTTTACAAGTTGCCATGACATTTCATTTTTGTGTGCAGAGTGTGTTTATTAATCNATATAACCAAAACAAATAGCTATATACCAAGATATAATTATTGAAGTTTACCCTCTATTTAAGAGAGTGTTGGCATACTCCAAGCAATTTGATTTCCAACCTTTGAACTGTCCCAATTTTGTGGTTATAGAAAATGGTGGAAGCATGTTAATACGATATAAATAATGTGAGTTGAAGTTTTAAAGTCTAATTGGTAGTACATTGAATGCAAATGGAATTCATAAGGTCTAATACTTGCATTCTACGTATAACTTTTAAAAGCATTAGTATCAAAATTTTAAGGCCTAAAAACATGAATAACCTATAGTAACTATTGGATGAAGGATAAGATTGTAAGGTAAATCAGGGATAAAATTGAAAAACAAAAGTTTTTCACTTTAAGATACTTTTATAAGTAGTAAAAATATAGATATAGATTACATAGATAGATCGGGGACAAAATTTTTAGAACTCTTGGGGATAAAACAATTAGGTAACTTGATATGGGATTATAATAATCAATCTCTAATAATTTTACAAAGGGTTGTTGAAGAATGTAATTTGTACATGAATGACCATATAAAAAATAAAACACTTGTCCACTTCATGTGTGGCTAGATTAGTAGGTGACAAGTGTTCACTAAGTTATTTACCAGAGTACAGTCATTTTTAAATAAATATACCAAAATACGATAATTTTGAACTTATTTAATAAACTATGACATTTTTTAAAAAAAGAATCAATAACTCTGCTTTTGTTAAAATATGGAATCAACAATCCCACTTTTTTTTTTTTAGAAAAAAAAGTGAGCAGTGGGAAGGTAAATGCATTCATGTTGGAATATATGAAGGCAAAAAAGGCTTCAACAAAATTTTAATATGAAATCGAAATATTATAAGCAAAGCTTTAAATGAACCAAGTTCAAAAGAACATATCACAAAACATACACAAAGTTCAAATTTATCTCTAATTACTATATGAAACTTTGGTAAACCACAACAAGTACCCGCATTATTTCTCATACAAGAGTGCTCCTACACCGTAGCAACATAGGAGGCTGCTATGATTTTGTTGTTGTTTTTACAAGTTGCCATGACATTTCATTTTTGTGTGCAGAGTGTGTTTATTAATCATGTTTTTTAGAAAAAGCTTAAAAAACGTGTTTATTAAACACGATTTTCACATGTTCACTTCCTACTGCCCACTATTTTTACCAAAGTTGTTGACTTTTTTTTTAAATAGGAAAACGGAGTTATTGACTCTATTTTTAAAAATATAATAAATTAAAAAATAAATTTAAAAGTGTCGTATTTTAATATCTTTGTTTAAAAAAGATTGTACTGGTTATTCTAATGATGTGTCCATTGACACTAGTCAAAAGTTGAGTAAAGTGTGTATGAATTTAAAAGAAGACATAGAGTAAGCATGAAGAACCAAAGTGTGTGTGTGTGTTTGACAAGTAGTAGGATCCTTGCTATGTTGCATGAAAACTTGTGTATGTGTGACAAGTGTCAAACTAAGAGCTAAAATAATCATTTAAAAGTACACATCCTTCTTACTTAATGACTTATAAATAGATGACTAAGATCAATCAATAACCATGACCAGAAAAAAAGAAAGAAATAGAAGAGAGAAATGAGAGATGAAAAGTAGAGAGAACAAGAAATGTGAGCATGATACGAATATAATGTGTTTTTGGTAACTTTGTGGTGCTAATCTATTAATATCGGTTAATAATTTAAGGTACGAGAGTCGTATACAAAATACTAATATTGAATCTCTTCACAAAGAATAATTCATTGATTATTTTCAATTTGTATTCCTTTTAATTGAGCTATCGTGATTTTAGAATTCCAATTGATTTTTTTATATGCATTGAGTATGTTGACTATAATTATGTGGATTTAAGACTTGATTATGGTAGCCAACAGTCCAATGCATTGTTAGTTTGAGAGATTCATCGGTTCAGAATGAGGTGAAGTGTTAGTGATTTGTCAGGTTTATGTCCAGGTTTTACATGACATGTGATATGGATCAAAACTCAAATACGTAATACTCATTGATTGAGCTTAAGAGTGTCCATGGGTCGGGTTGATCCACGAGGCCCGTTATTCAGCTCAAAAAATAAGTCCAAAATTCGATAGGTCAGATAGTTGGTTTATCTGAAATCGAACCCAATATCATTCAAGAGAGGGCTTGGGTCTGCCCCCAAGCCCATCAGCCATCCTGAAACCCTACCTATTAGCCCACCAGCAAAACCTGTTAAAACTCGACCCAAGAACCTTTCTTCCTCCATCGTCACTTTTTTTGAAAAAAAAAATTGACCATTGAAAGTTATGTGACATATTACTCTAAAAAAATTTATTTTCTTAAATACTAAGTTAAGTAATCTAAGATATTATTCATTATTTAATTAAATACTAAATAATTTCTCTCAAATAAAATTATTCATTATTTACTTCTTATCCATTTTGACTCTACTTTTAATTCAAAAATATAATTTATAAAAGTTATAAGATGAAAACTTTTTAAACGAAGATATATATATATATATATATANAATGACTTATAAATAGATGACTAAGATCAATCAATAACCATGACCAGAAAAAAAGAAAGAAATAGAAGAGAGAAATGAGAGATGAAAAGTAGAGAGAACAAGAAATGTGAGCATGATACGAATATAATGTGTTTTTGGTAACTTTGTGGTGCTAATCTATTAATATCGGTTAATAATTTAAGGTACGAGAGTCGTATACAAAATACTAATATTGAATCTCTTCACAAAGAATAATTCATTGATTATTTTCAATTTGTATTCCTTTTAATTGAGCTATCGTGATTTTAGAATTCCAATTGATTTTTTTATATGCATTGAGTATGTTGACTATAATTATGTGGATTTAAGACTTGATTATGGTAGCCAACAGTCCAATGCATTGTTAGTTTGAGAGATTCATCGGTTCAGAATGAGGTGAAGTGTTAGTGATTTGTCAGGTTTATGTCCAGGTTTTACATGACATGTGATATGGATCAAAACTCAAATACGTAATACTCATTGATTGAGCTTAAGAGTGTCCATGGGTCGGGTTGATCCACGAGGCCCGTTATTCAGCTCAAAAAATAAGTCCAAAATTCGATAGGTCAGATAGTTGGTTTATCTGAAATCGAACCCAATATCATTCAAGAGAGGGCTTGGGTCTGCCCCCAAGCCCATCAGCCATCCTGAAACCCTACCTATTAGCCCACCAGCAAAACCTGTTAAAACTCGACCCAAGAACCTTTCTTCCTCCATCGTCACTTTTTTTGAAAAAAAAAATTGACCATTGAAAGTTATGTGACATATTACTCTAAAAAAATTTATTTTCTTAAATACTAAGTTAAGTAATCTAAGATATTATTCATTATTTAATTAAATACTAAATAATTTCTCTCAAATAAAATTATTCATTATTTACTTCTTATCCATTTTGACTCTACTTTTAATTCAAAAATATAATTTATAAAAGTTATAAGATGAAAACTTTTTAAACGAAGATATATATATATATATATATAAAGGCCCACCCAATATCCCCGTCCAATGAGTGTCGAGTTGGGTTACGGGTAAGCTATACCTAGCGGAAGTCCACACCGGTCTACCCGATAAATCATTCGGATAAGGGCTTGGATGTACCCAAACCAGACCCAATTTGAAAAATTTTTCAAATATATTATTTCTTGTAATATTATGTACTTTTCTACTTAAGTTACTTTCAAGTTGATTTTGGAAGAAAGATCGAAATTGCAATACTCAAGGAATTGGAGATTGAAAAATATTCATATAAATTTTGTAACAATTAAATTGAGTTGGGGGTGATAGGTGGTGGGAGCAGGGTACCATAGACAACAAAATAACATGGAACAATCACTAAGATCGACTAAAACCTTAAAAAAGTGCTGAGAAGTTTTACCAAATTTATAATATAAAAATTTTAATTAATTTATTTGACGGTTTCAAATAAACAAACTTAACGGTTATTAACATTCTTTTTAAAATTATTTATATTATGCCGTATTTTTAGGCATAAATTACTCTTAGTTTCATACTAAATGATGCCACATATTCAAAATAATTTCAAATAATTTTTTGATGATTAGAAAAAGATTTATGAAATCCGATAATCTAACCACGTGAACATAAGAAATGCGATAAAAAAAAACTTTTGGTGAAATTTAACACTGGTTAAAAACCAAACAGCTGCAACATAATTACTTGGATACCCTTTCTTTCTTTTGTAACAATCCTGAATCATAGTAACATGGCGCTCTACTATTGGTCGACGCAGAGATGACTTATAGGACGCAAAACAGCTAATTTCAGCCCAATTTCAAGTGGGAAAGACACTGCCTGAACTGCCGAAGACCAACAACCGTTAATTAACAGCGGCTACCAATGACTCTAGAGAGAGAAGAGAGAGAGAGATTTTCATTCCGTCTTCGTTTTTTGAGAGAGAGTACAGAGGGATTGTTAGGGAATGCTAACAGAGAGAGACAGAGATAGATAGAGAGAGAGAGAGACGGATTTTGGGCTTTGTGGGTGAGAAAGAAGGTGAAAATCATGGGAGTGAATGCGGTTGATGATAAAGATTACTCGTTGTTGAAAGATCTTAAATTGGACATCAGGGGTGAACCAGAGGGGACTTTCTCTCTCTGTTTCTGGCTTTACCTTATTAACTCCACTTCATCTCCATCTATACTACTTCGCCAGGTCTATATCTGCCTTCCCTCTCCCCCTCTCTCTTTGCTTGGCTTTTCGAAGTATAGAACACACACACACGCATAAGGGTATCTGTCTTTGTTGTTTCCTTACTGGACGTTATGTGCTTGGTCATATATGGGATATCCATTTATATTTCTTTGTTTTTTTGTATGTTTTCCCCTATTGATTTAACCTACTTGTTAGGTAATGGTGAATTTCACAGGTCTCAGATTTTCTCTATGTGTTTTGGAAGCCCATTTTGGTATCTTTTTCTATGGTGTTCATCACCTAGATCACTGACACTTTTTTAATTGATGTTTGTTTAATGAGTTCTTATGTAAAAGGAAAATCCCATGGTCATCTGACCAAGTCCTTCCAAATTGGGTTACTCACTGATCAGTTGTAGAAATTTGGTGTAATCTCACAGCTTTGAGATCATTTTAGCCTCTAATAATATTGTGTTTTTCAGTTACAGCAACTCCCATATTTTCTTTTGTTCCTCTATATTTGATAGTAGTTTGTATTTCAAAGTCCCATTTTAACTGTTGAAGTCCTTCAACAATGGGGTAGGTTCCCCATTTTGTTCAAATTTCCACTTGTCATTAAATTGCCTTCTAGTTTAAGAACTAAGAATCAAATAGGTCATGTTTGTTGATAATCATGCCTTTGCAAATTCCACGACCACTTGGCAGTGTGTGATTTCTTAAATCAATTTGTAATATCCTACGTCATAGGATCGTCTTTTACTAAATTCTATTATCAAAAGAAAATTGAGTATTCAGGACTAACTAAGTGTGGATATTTTCTGATTCCTGTGGTTCATCTATGAGCTTTTGATTGTATGTAGTTAGTAACTTATTCTACGTAGTGGAAAAGTTGTTACTTTATGTATTTTGGGTTATGCAGGTGCACCCTAATATCACAGGTACTGTCCCCTTTCTTGTATTAAATGAAAAGAAGGCATTGATGCTTTTCCCGCTTCTTTTTCTACACCAAGAGGCTCCTAGTAGTGCCAATTCTACTTTGTGGGCAGAAGTACCACACACATCTTCCAAGATTGAGTTCCCTTTGAAGAAATGGCTTCATGTTGGATGCGAGGTATGCCATCAAAATTCCACAAGTTCGAAAACGAAATCATATAGAAAGAAACAAAGAGTGTATGTAGTTATGTTCATTTCAGTTTTTCCTATACTTATTGGGATGATCTTTATTGTATTTATTCAATGAGGGTGAGCCTTGATGCAACGATAAGGATGACATGTGTTCAAGGGTTAAGAGGTACTAGTATGTGGGATAAGGCTACGTACAACTGACCCTCCCAGAATCCTTCCGTGACAGAAGTCTTGGGCCAATGACACTGACACTGATTAGGCCAATACATAGTCAAGCCTCCTAGCATCCTGCATTGTTTGAGACCATCATTATGTAATGGTATATTAGGGAAGATATAGTTTAATTTACAAGATCACGGTCTATATAAGAGGCTTTTCCCCTTTCATTGGGAACTAAATTACAAACATAAAAAATATGATTTGGTGGTTATGGATGGTATCTGGGGTAGAATAATAGGTTAGTAAATCTTGTACCATGACTGGGAAGAGTCGGAAGACAGTAATTTAAAAATATACTACTTAGTTATATAGGTAGTACAAAAATCCAGAGTGGAGTGTACTATCTATTGCACTCCTTCATTAGAACCTCAGAGTACCTTTGAACCTCAGAGAATCTTCAATGGTTTCAACATTATAGAGAAGATTATGGTTGTAAAAAGTTGTTGAGAGGATGAAATTTTAAGAACGACTCTAAAAAAATAATTTTTGACCAATTGAAAATTTTAATACTGGATGAGGTTATATATCTTTTGTCATAGGTTTTGGCATGTTTGGATGGCCTTTTTAGTTTTGTTGTCATTCAGCAAAGCAAACAATAAAAGCTCAACTAGCCTTTTACACTGTTAAAGTGAGACCTGTATGTGGTCAAGTTTTTGATTGACTTATTTGATTGACTCAAGTATGACAAATGAGCTGCATCAATCTTTGTGTTGTATTGTCTTCATTTCTGAAGCTGTTCATCAAATGCTAATGGCTGTTGGGTTCATTTCAGGTCTCTATTGAATTTATGCGGCTTTACATTGATGGGGAGATTGTAGGGGAGAAGCCTCTAGCTTCCTTATCTACTATGAATTCACTCTCTGATGATTTGAGGAAAGTATCTTTGACTAGCTCCATTGGGCATGATGATGGGTTACAAGGATATGTCCATTGTGTGGAATTTTTACCTCTAACAGTATCTATCCAAAATCATTATGTTAAGGTGCATACTTGTAGGTTTAAATTTTTGCAATGTTTTGTCATATTGGTTTAGAGTCACTTCCTATGCTGACATTTTTCATACTGATGCCAGGACCCACCACTACAATTATTAATTGATAGCTCCAGTGCCTCTGAGATAAAAGAAGACAGCGATGGGGTGTGGAGCATTGTTGGTGGCAAGGTTGAAGAGATTTAATTTAATTGCCTTTTGCTTTACTGGTCTCCTATTCCCCTAATCCGTTCTGATTTCTATTACATGACATGATTTTGTTTTTTGATCTATTCTTTTCCAGTATATTTTTCGTAGTGTGATCGAAACGATTGAGTCTGGATATAGGTGCATTCAACAGTCTCTGTTGTGGGCTGACTGATTCTTCAATGGCCACAATAGGCAGGCTTTTTCAACATTATCAAGTTAACCTTTCATTGTACCTTTAGTAACATGTCACAAAGCTTTTTTCATGTTCTTCGTTTTTCACTTAATTGAACATCAAACATCTCAGCTCATAAGCTCGGCAATTTTTAAGCATTTAGGTTGATTGCTTATATTTATTTTAGTAGTTTGTGCTAAGCGATCCTGCAGGAGAGATCGTGGATTCTCATGCAAGCACTAGACTTGGAAGATGCAAGGGTCATTAAATATGTTCAGACATCATTTCAGCACGTGACATGTTCTGAGATGGTTACCAAACCAAACCACAAATCAAACCAAACTAAGTCATATGTCCCAATCATTTGAGAACGGTTATATGAGTCTGTTTTCGCCATTAATTTCGGTCATGCACTATACGCTCATTTAAGTTAAATATTTTTATATCTTTTCTTATTATTTTGTTCAATGTTAATTTAGATCTACCCCTACTTCTAGTATCATTAAGAGAGATTATCTCACTTTTTTGAACCGATGTCTCTATCGACCTTCGTTGAACATGATCAAACCATCTTAATTTATTTTCTCTAACTTATACTTAATTGGATCTACTCCTATTATTTATCTAATACGGTCATTTTTTATTCTATCCTTTCTAGTTTTTCACACATCTACCTTAGCATCCTCATTTCCGCTACACTCATTTTGTCACTATTGTGTTTTCTAGTTGCCCAACATTCTGTTCCATATAACATTACTGCCCTTATAGCTGTTCGATAAAGTCTACCTTTCAATTTTATTGGTATTCTCCTATCACATAATATGCTTGAGGCTTTCATCCATTTAATCCAACCGGCATTGATTCTATGAGTTATATCATCTTCAATTTCTCTATTATTTTTAATGATCGATCCTAGATATCTAAATTGTTTACTTTTTGATATTTCTTGATTTTCAATCTTAACTTTTTCACTATGTTTACTTCTTTTATTACTGAAATTGTATTGCATTTGTAAAGGGTGAACACCGCTTAGGGGTGAACCACCTCCCCACGGAGGATTTTGGCTGACCTGGGCTGAGTCCCCCAGTAGCCTTTAATCTCTCATTCTACATTGGGAGAGAGTCGTCTTGCCCCAGCTATATAAGTCTTTTCTTACTATGGAGGAGGTACCCACTAGCGACTTGATCCCCGGAATCTTCCTCGGATTCTTCCTCTTCTGACGAAGAATGGTCTTTCCAAAGAGAAGGGTTGAAGGGAGGGGGGATCTGAGAGAATCGGCTGTAAGTAGACGTGTAGCCGAGTAGGGTATGCGCCGCTCGCTCGACAGGATCGCAGGACCAAACCCTTAGGAGATCGACAAATCGGACTTGGGACCTCAAGGGTTAAGTAGTGTCCCGACGATATCCTTCTGTGAAAACAAATAGCCGAGGTCAGTTCCAATGATAGAAAAATCTGTACAAGTCTAGGGAAAGTAGACACACCTTCATCCCTCAGCACTTTGGGGCAGTATAATCCAACATACTCGGGCCCGGGTCGCTTCTCCCAACTGTTGTCGAGCATGATCAGATCGTCTATATAACCCTTGTCCGAGTCGGACATGTGAGTTACTAGATACATCGACGTATCTCGAGCCTGGAGGTAATATCTTCCCCCGGCAACTAACCTCAAGTCATAGTAGAACAAAATTTCATCTACTCCTAAATCGGTTCCCAGCCGAACATTTAAGGCGACTATGCCCATCACAATCCTAAAGAAATTAATCACACATTAAAGGGGAAAGAGCTTCAGTTGCATCAATATTTTTAGCAACAGGGGGTGGAGAGGGAAGGTTAACCCTGCTTCCATAATGGCCTTGTTCCAAAAAGGCATAATATCTACACTTCCTATATCCCTCCTGTGGCGAATGGGGTTAAAAGGGAAGGTAAGGACAGGTTCATGGATGTGGTATCTAACCCTGAAGGCTTGGATGTTTTCGTCAGTCACTTGGGTTCTCCTCAACTTGGGGTTTGCCCTTGTCCTAACAGATATCTCCCCCCTGGTTCTAGCCATTGGTGGGTTCTAAAAGGAGGAAATGTAGAAGAAATAAAGAAAGAAAAAGCTTAAGAGGAGGTACTTATAGAAAGATAGCCTTCGAAGAGGAAACTCGGAGAGCGAAAAAAACTCGGAGGAGAACAGGGAAGTGCTCGGGGGCTGATTGCTGAAGGAAGGATGATGATGCAAAAGTTCTGAGAAGACATGAGCACCTCCTATTTATACTGCTTTACAAGGGGCGGGAATCGAAGAGTTAGGTCATCATTTGGGGATTTGAAACAGGCGGCGCCAGATGTGCAAGTAACCGTCGTTATTAATAGGGCGTGTTTGTTGAGCCTCCATTCCCGTTACGCCACTTGTCCCATGGCGCAAATAGAATGGAGGCTGGGGGACAGTTGGCAGGACTCTAGGTGGCTCTGTAACCCCTAGACTGACACGTGGAATAATGAAATCGTTGTAATATCTAAAAGGCGCCGAGGAGGTAAGCCGAGATATGGTGTCCCGAAAGAGCCGAGTACGACAGCTGGCAGCACATTTAATGCGATGTAACCTTTCATTTATGGTGGAATGAGTGATGGTGACAAGGTTATAAAATGTGCGTCTGCGAGCGCCTGCACTCTGATAACCTAGGCCTATCATCATGATGGCTAGACATTAATGACTCCTATGCTGAGTATATACGTTCGGCACTCCCCGAAGAACTGTTTCCCCGAGCATTCAAGGCTCAGTTGTCGGTGTCAGATGCCGATCTGAGGGATGTGGATGCTCGGGGAAGGGCATAAATGCTCGGCCTAGAGCCGAACACTCGTTTCATCATCCTAGCATCAATGATCAAAATATCGTTTCGAAACGGTTGAAATATCCGAAACGTTTCTGTTTTCAAGGAGACCGAAACGAAGCAGTGATGGAATCGAAATTCTAATATTTCGGGGTGTTCCATAATATTTTAAAATATTTTATTATATTTCAATGTATTTCAAGATATTTTGGTATATTTCTACTAATGTTTTGAAAAAATAATTATTAAATTTTTTATTTTTTTCCAAAATAGGCCAAAATATTTTCGAAACAGATCGAAATGTTTCCGTTTCTTAGGTGGCCGAAACAATGCACCAAAATGAAATTTTGATCCTTGCCTAGCATTAAGTAGGAGGAGACTTGAGTGGAGAACACTCATTGCGCGAGGAATGGTGTGTCAGACATTAAATGTCAAGATGGGACTAGATGTCTTTGGCAATCATTGCTAATTCGGGTATAAATACTCAGAAAAAAATAGATAGAGGTACGCAAGATTAAACGAAAAAGATTTCATTGAACTTGAACCTCGAATTTTGAGACTGACTTGAGCTTTGGAGGGGATAAGCCGGGCGTTCACCTGCCCCCCTTTTCACACCCTGTGATTGTTTTGGGTTTATCAGGTTGGAGGTTGCTGTTTCAAACAATTGCAGGAATTATCCCGTGCAGTATTTATTCAGTCTTGCTCTTAAAACCCTTTTGACTCGAGTGTCTCTCTCCAAATTTTTAACTTATTGTTAATCCCCCTTCGAGTTTTATCTACTAATATAATATCATCTACAAATGGCATACACAGTGGGACATCATTTTGAATGTGCCTAGTGAGTTCATCCATAATTAGGGCAAATAGGTATGGACTTAGGGTCAACTCTTGGTGTAATCCCACCGTAATTTGAAATTCTTTATTTTCTCTCATGGANAGTACAAGTCTAGGGAAAGTAGACACACCTTCATCCCTCAGCACTTTGGGGCAGTATAATCCAACATACTCGGGCCCGGGTCGCTTCTCCCAACTGTTGTCGAGCATGATCAGATCGTCTATATAACCCTTGTCCGAGTCGGACATGTGAGTTACTAGATACATCGACGTATCTCGAGCCTGGAGGTAATATCTTCCCCCGGCAACTAACCTCAAGTCATAGTAGAACAAAATTTCATCTACTCCTAAATCGGTTCCCAGCCGAACATTTAAGGCGACTATGCCCATCACAATCCTAAAGAAATTAATCACACATTAAAGGGGAAAGAGCTTCAGTTGCATCAATATTTTTAGCAACAGGGGGTGGAGAGGGAAGGTTAACCCTGCTTCCATAATGGCCTTGTTCCAAAAAGGCATAATATCTACACTTCCTATATCCCTCCTGTGGCGAATGGGGTTAAAAGGGAAGGTAAGGACAGGTTCATGGATGTGGTATCTAACCCTGAAGGCTTGGATGTTTTCGTCAGTCACTTGGGTTCTCCTCAACTTGGGGTTTGCCCTTGTCCTAACAGATATCTCCCCCCTGGTTCTAGCCATTGGTGGGTTCTAAAAGGAGGAAATGTAGAAGAAATAAAGAAAGAAAAAGCTTAAGAGGAGGTACTTATAGAAAGATAGCCTTCGAAGAGGAAACTCGGAGAGCGAAAAAAACTCGGAGGAGAACAGGGAAGTGCTCGGGGGCTGATTGCTGAAGGAAGGATGATGATGCAAAAGTTCTGAGAAGACATGAGCACCTCCTATTTATACTGCTTTACAAGGGGCGGGAATCGAAGAGTTAGGTCATCATTTGGGGATTTGAAACAGGCGGCGCCAGATGTGCAAGTAACCGTCGTTATTAATAGGGCGTGTTTGTTGAGCCTCCATTCCCGTTACGCCACTTGTCCCATGGCGCAAATAGAATGGAGGCTGGGGGACAGTTGGCAGGACTCTAGGTGGCTCTGTAACCCCTAGACTGACACGTGGAATAATGAAATCGTTGTAATATCTAAAAGGCGCCGAGGAGGTAAGCCGAGATATGGTGTCCCGAAAGAGCCGAGTACGACAGCTGGCAGCACATTTAATGCGATGTAACCTTTCATTTATGGTGGAATGAGTGATGGTGACAAGGTTATAAAATGTGCGTCTGCGAGCGCCTGCACTCTGATAACCTAGGCCTATCATCATGATGGCTAGACATTAATGACTCCTATGCTGAGTATATACGTTCGGCACTCCCCGAAGAACTGTTTCCCCGAGCATTCAAGGCTCAGTTGTCGGTGTCAGATGCCGATCTGAGGGATGTGGATGCTCGGGGAAGGGCATAAATGCTCGGCCTAGAGCCGAACACTCGTTTCATCATCCTAGCATCAATGATCAAAATATCGTTTCGAAACGGTTGAAATATCCGAAACGTTTCTGTTTTCAAGGAGACCGAAACGAAGCAGTGATGGAATCGAAATTCTAATATTTCGGGGTGTTCCATAATATTTTAAAATATTTTATTATATTTCAATGTATTTCAAGATATTTTGGTATATTTCTACTAATGTTTTGAAAAAATAATTATTAAATTTTTTATTTTTTTCCAAAATAGGCCAAAATATTTTCGAAACAGATCGAAATGTTTCCGTTTCTTAGGTGGCCGAAACAATGCACCAAAATGAAATTTTGATCCTTGCCTAGCATTAAGTAGGAGGAGACTTGAGTGGAGAACACTCATTGCGCGAGGAATGGTGTGTCAGACATTAAATGTCAAGATGGGACTAGATGTCTTTGGCAATCATTGCTAATTCGGGTATAAATACTCAGAAAAAAATAGATAGAGGTACGCAAGATTAAACGAAAAAGATTTCATTGAACTTGAACCTCGAATTTTGAGACTGACTTGAGCTTTGGAGGGGATAAGCCGGGCGTTCACCTGCCCCCCTTTTCACACCCTGTGATTGTTTTGGGTTTATCAGGTTGGAGGTTGCTGTTTCAAACAATTGCAGGAATTATCCCGTGCAGTATTTATTCAGTCTTGCTCTTAAAACCCTTTTGACTCGAGTGTCTCTCTCCAAATTTTTAACTTATTGTTAATCCCCCTTCGAGTTTTATCTACTAATATAATATCATCTACAAATGGCATACACAGTGGGACATCATTTTGAATGTGCCTAGTGAGTTCATCCATAATTAGGGCAAATAGGTATGGACTTAGGGTCAACTCTTGGTGTAATCCCACCGTNTGTACAAGTCTAGGGAAAGTAGACACACCTTCATCCCTCAGCACTTTGGGGCAGTATAATCCAACATACTCGGGCCCGGGTCCCTTCTCCCAACTGTTGTCGAGCATGATCAGATCGTCTATATAACCCTTGTCCGAGTCGGACATGTGAGTTACTAGATACATCGACGTATCTCGAGCCTGGAGGTAATATCTTCCCCCGGCAACTAACCTCAAGTCATAGTAGAACAAAATTTCATCTACTCCTAAATCGGTTCCCAGCCGAACATTTAAGGCGACTATGCCCATCACAATCCTAAAGAAATTAATCACACATTAAAGGGGAAAGAGCTTCAGTTGCATCAATATTTTTAGCAACAGGGGGTGGAGAGGGAAGGTTAACCCTGCTTCCATAATGGCCTTGTTCCAAAAAGGCATAATATCTACACTTCCTATATCCCTCCTGTGGCGAATGGGGTTAAAAGGGAAGGTAAGGACAGGTTCATGGATGTGGTATCTAACCCTGAAGGCTTGGATGTTTTCGTCAGTCACTTGGGTTCTCCTCAACTTGGGGTTTGCCCTTGTCCTAACAGATATCTCCCCCCTGGTTCTAGCCATTGGTGGGTTCTAAAAGGAGGAAATGTAGAAGAAATAAAGAAAGAAAAAGCTTAAGAGGAGGTACTTATAGAAAGATAGCCTTCGAAGAGGAAACTCGGAGAGCGAAAAAAACTCGGAGGAGAACAGGGAAGTGCTCGGGGGCTGATTGCTGAAGGAAGGATGATGATGCAAAAGTTCTGAGAAGACATGAGCACCTCCTATTTATACTGCTTTACAAGGGGCGGGAATCGAAGAGTTAGGTCATCATTTGGGGATTTGAAACAGGCGGCGCCAGATGTGCAAGTAACCGTCGTTATTAATAGGGCGTGTTTGTTGAGCCTCCATTCCCGTTACGCCACTTGTCCCATGGCGCAAATAGAATGGAGGCTGGGGGACAGTTGGCAGGACTCTAGGTGGCTCTGTAACCCCTAGACTGACACGTGGAATAATGAAATCGTTGTAATATCTAAAAGGCGCCGAGGAGGTAAGCCGAGATATGGTGTCCCGAAAGAGCCGAGTACGACAGCTGGCAGCACATTTAATGCGATGTAACCTTTCATTTATGGTGGAATGAGTGATGGTGACAAGGTTATAAAATGTGCGTCTGCGAGCGCCTGCACTCTGATAACCTAGGCCTATCATCATGATGGCTAGACATTAATGACTCCTATGCTGAGTATATACGTTCGGCACTCCCCGAAGAACTGTTTCCCCGAGCATTCAAGGCTCAGTTGTCGGTGTCAGATGCCGATCTGAGGGATGTGGATGCTCGGGGAAGGGCATAAATGCTCGGCCTAGAGCCGAACACTCGTTTCATCATCCTAGCATCAATGATCAAAATATCGTTTCGAAACGGTTGAAATATCCGAAACGTTTCTGTTTTCAAGGAGACCGAAACGAAGCAGTGATGGAATCGAAATTCTAATATTTCGGGGTGTTCCATAATATTTTAAAATATTTTATTATATTTCAATGTATTTCAAGATATTTTGGTATATTTCTACTAATGTTTTGAAAAAATAATTATTAAATTTTTTATTTTTTTCCAAAATAGGCCAAAATATTTTCGAAACAGATCGAAATGTTTCCGTTTCTTAGGTGGCCGAAACAATGCACCAAAATGAAATTTTGATCCTTGCCTAGCATTAAGTAGGAGGAGACTTGAGTGGAGAACACTCATTGCGCGAGGAATGGTGTGTCAGACATTAAATGTCAAGATGGGACTAGATGTCTTTGGCAATCATTGCTAATTCGGGTATAAATACTCAGAAAAAAATAGATAGAGGTACGCAAGATTAAACGAAAAAGATTTCATTGAACTTGAACCTCGAATTTTGAGACTGACTTGAGCTTTGGAGGGGATAAGCCGGGCGTTCACCTGCCCCCCTTTTCACACCCTGTGATTGTTTTGGGTTTATCAGGTTGGAGGTTGCTGTTTCAAACGATTGCAGGAATTATCCCGTGCAGTATTTATTCAGTCTTGCTCTTAAAACCCTTTTGACTCGAGTGTCTCTCTCCAAATTTTTAACTTATTGTTAATCCCCCTTCGAGTTTTATCTACTAATATAATATCATCTACAAATGGCATACACAGTGGGACATCATTTTGAATGTGCCTAGTGAGTTCATCCATAATTAGGGCAAATAGGTATGGACTTAGGGTCAACTCTTGGTGTAATCCCACCGTAATTTGAAATTCTTTATTTTCTCTCATGGAAGACGTAATTGTAGTCATAGCCCTGTCATACATGTCATTTATCACCTCAATATACTTATTTGTCACTTCTTTTTTCTCAAGCATCCTCCATATTATATTTTTAGGTACTTTATCATACACATTTTCTAGATCTATAAGTGCCATAGGAAGATTTTTCTTCTTCTCTCTATATTTTTCTATGAGTGTCCTCAATAAATATATAGCCTCCATAGTTGATCTATCTGACATAAACCAAAACTGATTTTTCGAACACTGTAGTCTCAACTCTTAGGCGCCGTTCAATGACCCTTTCCCATAATTTCATGGTTATTCTATAATTTTATTGTAGCATCTATAACTATCCTTGGTCTCAATTTTTTTTTATGTAAATTTCTTCATCACTGTGACCATCATCATCATCACGAAAATAACCTCTCTGCAGGTGGGGGTAAGATTGCATTCTTTGATCCTTCCCATACCCACAGTGACAGGAGCCTCGTGCACTGTACCGCCTTTTTTATTTTTACTTTGACCATCTTCATCATCTAATCTTTGTTCCCAGCATTCGAATTCCTGGCAGTTCCACAGTCTCAGACTCTCACGTATGTTCCAAAGATAGTTACCTGTTCAATAGGAAGCTATATTTCACCAATAGTGTATGTGTGCTCCAGATTCACTAACTTACACTTCATTGGGCTTTTATTCTGATGAGTTAACCTGGTGGATCCACGGGATGGAATGCCATTACTGGACAGTGCGCATAGTTGAAAAGATTTATAAAGGAAGCAAATGGACCTAGAAATTTATTTATTGTCTTTATTCTTCCTGTGCATTATGAAGGGCAAACATAACATTAAAGATGGTGAAACGATTATTATTGGATTAACTCATATGGTTGGTCCTTCGATACGAAAGACACATAGGTATCTTTCCCTATTTTGATTGGTTTATTGATCACTTCACAAGTCATTTGTGTTCTACCCATGTTTTAGCCACTTCTATCGGTGTATTTCTTTACTTTAGAAATGTGGCTAATTAATTGTGTTCTTAGCCTTTTTGTTAAGATACTGCTTCATTGCTTTGCTCTACTCAGCCCACCAAAAACGAACTTATACTTCAGATTCATTTACACTTTTCACCAAACAAACAATTTTATAACTGGGCAGTGTAGACTGGGAGTTGACATCTTTGACATATACAGTTTCATTTGTCTTTGGTATCCAAAGATATTTGACTATAACGAGATCATTTATAGTTCTTCAAATTCTCAAAGCCTGTCACTAGTATGTGCTTTGAAAAATTTGAAGCATATTGAAAGAAGTTTTATTTCGATGATTCCTGAGCACTTATTATCCTGAGGCATGGGCAAAGGTTGGACCCCAAAGTGGATACCAAAATGCAATTCCATTAAAAAGCTTTAAACAGTAGATTTGAATGTAGCTTTATTCTTGGCATACATGTTGGCTTCCCTTCATTAAGCTGGGCATTAGTGTGTGATTTCTTCTAATGCATTTTAGTTCCCAATTTTTTTTTTGTGGGGCCACAGGAATCGTGCCGCAGGAATTTTTCCTTGGATGTCATTCTGTTGGATGCCTTAGGCCAGCCTGTGAACAAGGAAATGGAGGTTGTCATCTCTGGCTTGTATGTTAAATACAATCTAATGGCACTGTTTATTTCAGAACTTTTAGGTAAACAAGCGTGCATATACATTTTGCTTGTGTTGTAGGTTGTTGCTTTACTTTTATATGCTGACAGTGAGGCACATGTGGAGAAGCCAGATGATGCAGAAGCTCCTCTTCTTACAAATTATGATGGAATCGAATATGCTTCTTGTGATAGACCCAGTAAATTAATCAATGGTCGTGCCTCCTTTAAGCTGAAGATATCACAAGTATGTAAATCTTTTATGACCACTTTCACTTTGATGAGGTTGCAAGGAATACTAGTAAACTACATTAGGCAGATGGTAGAAAGGCATGGGAGCAACAGCTTGTATGCATAGATCCCGGCTATCTAATTATGTGCTTCGTTGTTTTCTTTGAAACACGATCAACGGCCTTTTGGCAAGCTAAATCAAAGTGGAATTAGGAATGGTTGACCAATACATTTTGGATGATTTCTCTGTTCATTCTTCTTTATTTGGTCTTACGTGTGGCTTTTTGTTTCAAAAATTAGCCGCCAGAGGACCCCAAAGCATGAGTGCAACCTTATGGAATTTGGTAAATTCATTTAAAAATCTTCTTTAAACCAGTGGCGTGAACAGTTTTGTAATTGACATCTATGACTAAAATGTTTCCAAGATAAAGACTTATTAATAAGTCAAGGATCAAAACCTTGCCATTTTTCATTGGATTGAGCTTGCATTTCTTTATTAGGTAAATTATGCATGTGATGTACATCATGGTCTAAAATAGAAATACTCATCCTTTTGTTTTTGGTAGGTGAAATAGTCTTTATCACTGTTGGATAAAAATCTTGCACGCCCTCGAGTGTGTGAAAAATAGTGTATGGTTAGGAGCTCCACCATGTGAACTGACAACATTCATGTGCCCACTCATTAGCTTCCAGTTGCCATAGAACAACTGAAAAGGTTCTGTAATTTCATATAATACTCAAAAACTCTCTCTTCTTTTGCTTATTGCATAGAGTATAACTTTAAAGCTAAGCATTGTCATAGGCCATGTACATGCTATGAGAATGATACGTGACTTAAGTGCTTTTTTTCACCTATTTCAGCTTTCATCGAAGTGTGATAATAAGCTGTTTCGCCTCAAGTTTGAGATTCCAAAGATGGGGAAATATCCTTTCCTTCAGGCATTTTCCATTCCAATTCGTTGTGTCTCACGAAATCGTACTACACGGGTGTCATCTCCAATGTTGAAAAAATCGTCCTCTGCGATGCATTTACTCGGTCGACATCAATCTTTAGATAATGGATCCTCAGAACTTGTCCAGAATATTGTATGTGAAGCAAAACAAAGTACATCATCAAAGCGGGTCAAATTAGGACAAGAAAAACCACATGCAAAGTTCATGGCAGATCTCACCTCAAGTCGAATTGATGAGGAATGCAACTCTCAGGCTTGTACCAGTACTGAGGTAGCATGCAGTCCTTATTTTCTTAATCATCTTTGTTGTTCATGGAATACTTTGTGGATAAAGCATTGAATACTGTATGAACTAAATGACATGATGCTATCTGACATGGACAAAATTGGGTTGCATGTCTGACTTATTATGCTTATACTTGCTGGCTACTTTACATACCTGTGCAAAGCATATTATGTATATATAGAGATGTTTATCTGAAGCGTTGTTATTGGTGTCACGTGTTAATTTTGGTCTAATGCGATGACACAGTGTTTTGAGACCTAGAGCTTATGTTACTGGACGTAGTATGCTTAACTCAGAAACTGAGATAGCTATGCAGTCCTTATTTTCTTAATCATCTTTGTTGTTCATGGAGTGCTTATGGACAAAGCATTGAATATTGCATGAACTATATGACATGGACAAAATTGGGTTGCATGTCCGACTTATTATGATTATACTTGTTGGCAAGCTTTACTTACCTATGCAAGGCATATTATGTATATCTAGAGCAAGGATTGAAATATCGTATTGGGGCATCGTTTTGGCCATCTAAGAAACAGAAACTTTTTGGAAATGGAATGAAAATCAAACAAAAGATTTTTTTTTTCCCAAACAGTCATAAACAGTGGTCAAAATATACCAAAACTTTTTTAAATATCTCAAAACGTAGGTAAAAAACATGTTGAAATATCTTGAAACATTTCGGAACACTTCTGAGCATTTTTGAAATATTGAAATTTCGATTTCATCACTGATTCGTTTCGGTCTTCTTGAAAACAGAAACGTTACGATATGAAATTTTGATCCTTGGTCTAGAGTCATGATTATCTGAAATGTTGTTATCGTTGTCATGTGTTAATTTGGTCTAATGCGATGATCCAGTGTTTTGAGACCCAGAGCTTATGTTACTGGACATAGTATGCTTAACTTAGAGAAAACTTTTTTGACTTTGCAAATTGAGTTAATTTTGCTTACATATCTTTCCATCCCCACCCAAGGCACAACATTCCCCCCCCCAAAACACCCCAACACACACACTCCCCCAACAAAAAGAAAAAAGAAAACCAGACATGCATTTTGACAAAGTAAAAACAATTGAAAAGGCCCTCATTATGCATGGAACTTTTATTTAGGTATTGGTCCTATGTAATACAAATTGACTTTTATCCCTGGTTCACAATTTAAAATTTACTCACAGAAAGATCTTCTGGAAAAAGAAATATCATACACGCTTGGACCATTGAACCATGTTTGTTCTGTCTTTGATATCAAGACAAGATACCTCTAATCACATGAACTGCGGTGATGGCGCACACAATGGATCCATGAAGACATCAAGATTGCAGAGAATTTGGATACCTTTTTGGTCTAAGATAATACTTGAGTAAAGAAGAACACCTTCTCTTGTTCAATGCGTCTTTATGGTTTACAGATAAAGTCCCAGCAGTAAGAAAGTCCTACTCTTCCTAAAACTAGGTCAAGTTTTTGGTGGAGAATTTGCACGCAGTAATACTCAAAAAGGGTCTCCACAGATAATTTAAGACGCAGGACAAATACAGAAAGGAGATAAAATGTCAGCAATTTTGTCACTAGGAGAAAAAAACTAGAGACATTAGATTTTATGTAGAGGATAGATGGAAGATAGACGACGATGATTTTATTTATCTTGGAAAAAATCAAAATCTACTAAAAAATGTGGTCCTGTCACGTGGACATGGAATGGTGCTCGGCCGTATGGTGCAAACCCATCAATAATTGCTGCTTCTTACCCATCAGGCAACACCTAACTTCTTGGAACCATTTTTAAGATGATGGCTTAACAGTGACCTCTTTAATTATCATTTCATTCTTGAAACTCCATGTTGTCTTATACTTTGACATACTGATCACCATTTTGAATTAGGATGATAATGCATATGGGGCAAGTATGGACGGGAGATCGGATAAACACGAAGAAACAGACAATTCATCTGATTTGGAGAGTAGTGAAGCAACAAATTCTGTTTTCAAGAGCATGCCAAGTAATAGAGATGTAGTTTCAGATTTGGCTGTCTTCAAATATTGCCTAGGAGGCCTGACTGAGAAGTCTCTTCTGCTCAAGGAAATTGCAATATCAGCTTCTGAACAAGAACTTGCAGACTTTGCAGAGCAGGTTTCTCTATATATGGGATGCTTGCATCACCGGTAAACTACAAGACTATTACGTTTCCTGAAAATTTGTGACTTAGTAGTGAAATTATGTGTTGAAGTTCTTGTTGGCATGTTGAGGATACTATCTAGCATTGGATTCTTAACCTTGGATAGATGACGTGTGCAAAAATCATAATGCCATAGTTCTGTTCTTTTCTTTTCTTCCTTCTGCATTAGAGAGCTCTTTGTTGTTTTTCCTTTTTTTTTTCTTTGGTGTTTCCCATTTACTTTGTTGTTGACCACCATGGCAGATTTTATGTTGTGGTGTGTTGTATAGGAGTGGGACTTATCACTTTGCATGTCATTTTAAGGCGATATTTCACTCCCTAAGTTGACCTGGAGAAGGAAAGGACGTGTTTTTGTGTTTGTTTCAAACTGGGTATTTCCTGTGCCATTAGGCCATCAGCAAATGACCATTGGATTTGTATCATAGATGCATATTTTACACCATACTCATAAAGATGGTGCATAATTCTCAGGCGCCAAATACTAATGGCAAAGAGATTGATGGAGGAGGGAATTAAAGCTTGGAATTTCTTATCACAAAATAACCAATACGTTCTTTGGGATAATTTGGTTTGTGAGATTAAAGAGCACTTCATGAAGATAGCCTCCTGCAGTACCAGATCTTTAACATATCAGGTCTCTCTCTCTCTCTCTCTCTCTTTCACACACACACACACACACACACACCCCATTACCCTTTATGACTTTATTAAAGATTACAAACACTTTTGGTTCAAAATTTATTTGAATGGGGAGAGAAAAATGGTGAATGTGCTGAAATTAATCAGCCACGTCTTTTTGGACTTTGTGGTTGGCAAACTAATTAGTTTGGAAGAGACATTAATTCCTCACCTTTCTTGGAGAAAGATGCCATAAATTAGTCCATCTGTAATAGTGAATCCTGCTTTTTATGTTCTTCTTTCCTTTCTATTAGTCACATTTCTGTGATACATTCCTTATAAAATCAGCATACGAGATGTATTCTAGGTTAATCTCACTCCGTAACAGCTGTTTGCCTGACTTTTCTTGTTACCTCTGTTTGGTATTGTGTTAAGACAGATATCTAGTTAAATGAGTCTGCTTAGAATCCAAATGGGCTAAAAGTGAAGTTGAGCTTATGCTCATGTAATTCTCTTAGTTGACCTTTTGTTGTTTGGGAATTTACTTTTTTAATATACATTGAGGTCTAGTATTTTTAGTAACTCTTAAGGGGCCAGGGCTATAGTTTGGGAATTTACTTTTTTAATATACCTTTTATAGTATACATTTTTCTAGAAAACCTTTGTGTACTGGTTAATAAATTTTCGCATCACTCTAGAGAATTATTCTTGTCATATGATTTTTGAAGAAAACTAAGAATAGTGGTCATAAAAATTAAGTTATTGTGTCATGCCATGTTATGTCGGTTCGTATTATGTCGCGGTAAATGGGTTATAACTAGAGTGCGACACAATTAATTATTCATGCCAAGTTTGACCATAAAACGACCTGTGTAGTGCACAAAGAGCAACACGAACCTGCTAATCCATTTATTCAACATGTTATGTTGAGCCAATTGGGTTGCCGCACTAAACCCATAAACTTAATGCAAATTCAACCTTTTAAACTCATATAAAATTGACTTTGAAACAATAAGAAGGAAATGATTTTCCAGAAAATTGGAGAAGTTAGAGTAACAAGAGTTCACTTTCGGGTAAAAGATGCAAAAATTATAAATATATATGTATATTATATATGTATATGTACGTATTCAAGACATGGGTTTGATGGGGTGTATAGGTTATAATCATGCCTATACAGGTTAGGCTTGTCGATCTTTTATGACACAAACATAATAATCTTGACCTGGACTTGCTAATTTCANACACACACACACACACACACACACCCCATTACCCTTTATGACTTTATTAAAGATTACAAACACTTTTGGTTCAAAATTTATTTGAATGGGGAGAGAAAAATGGTGAATGTGCTGAAATTAATCAGCCACGTCTTTTTGGACTTTGTGGTTGGCAAACTAATTAGTTTGGAAGAGACATTAATTCCTCACCTTTCTTGGAGAAAGATGCCATAAATTAGTCCATCTGTAATAGTGAATCCTGCTTTTTATGTTCTTCTTTCCTTTCTATTAGTCACATTTCTGTGATACATTCCTTATAAAATCAGCATACGAGATGTATTCTAGGTTAATCTCACTCCGTAACAGCTGTTTGCCTGACTTTTCTTGTTACCTCTGTTTGGTATTGTGTTAAGACAGATATCTAGTTAAATGAGTCTGCTTAGAATCCAAATGGGCTAAAAGTGAAGTTGAGCTTATGCTCATGTAATTCTCTTAGTTGACCTTTTGTTGTTTGGGAATTTACTTTTTTAATATACATTGAGGTCTAGTATTTTTAGTAACTCTTAAGGGGCCAGGGCTATAGTTTGGGAATTTACTTTTTTAATATACCTTTTATAGTATACATTTTTCTAGAAAACCTTTGTGTACTGGTTAATAAATTTTCGCATCACTCTAGAGAATTATTCTTGTCATATGATTTTTGAAGAAAACTAAGAATAGTGGTCATAAAAATTAAGTTATTGTGTCATGCCATGTTATGTCGGTTCGTATTATGTCGCGGTAAATGGGTTATAACTAGAGTGCGACACAATTAATTATTCATGCCAAGTTTGACCATAAAACGACCTGTGTAGTGCACAAAGAGCAACACGAACCTGCTAATCCATTTATTCAACATGTTATGTTGAGCCAATTGGGTTGCCGCACTAAACCCATAAACTTAATGCAAATTCAACCTTTTAAACTCATATAAAATTGACTTTGAAACAATAAGAAGGAAATGATTTTCCAGAAAATTGGAGAAGTTAGAGTAACAAGAGTTCACTTTCGGGTAAAAGATGCAAAAATTATAAATATATATGTATATTATATATGTATATGTACGTATTCAAGACATGGGTTTGATGGGGTGTATAGGTTATAATCATGCCTATACAGGTTAGGCTTGTCGATCTTTTATGACACAAACATAATAATCTTGACCTGGACTTGCTAATTTCATGTCAAGTTCGGTTCAAACTCGCATGTTGGGTTGGAGATTGCCATTCCATACTAGTATTATAAATGTATTTCTAATTATTTGGAGAATCAGCTGTACAACATGATTTGTCTTCTTTGTAGATGCCCACTAGAAAAACCAAATTGATAACCAAATACAGTAACAAGTGCCAAAGTTGGTGCAAATGCAACCCAAATACATGAGGCAGATACAAGGATTCAGAAACACAGAACAAACACTTAACCGGTTCATGAATTAAAGTAACTTGACGACTATATGCAAACATTGATTTCACACCTGAAAGTCAAAAATCAAAATTCTTCCTAAAGTTTAGGATTTGCTGTGTCAAAGATTCCATTTCCTACAAATCATAGCCATACCCCTCCATCATTGGTGTCATTAAAATCAAGATGGCATCACCTTGTTCACTGTTTTCTCTAAGTTGTATTATACAGTAGGATAGGTGCATTGCTAATTAAAAAGGAGTGACATAAAAGTAATAACTGGATATGTGTCCATCTCTGGTTAAATGTAGGTGTCCTTTCAAAATCGTAGGTTGTTGTAGCATTTGAGAGCTGAGCAAATGCTTCATCTTATAACATCTGTTTTCTCTTAATTAACAAGTTCAGTTGCATTCCGTGGTAAGATCTTGTAGAATCAGAAGCCTCTTTTTTTTTCTCGTAAATATTGAGTTCAGGTGTATTTCCATTGTAAGATCTTGCAGAATCGCTATACAGTTCTTATTTATCTCGTTTAGAAATCCTTTACATTAGGTGAAACCATGGCTAAAAATTTTGAAGTTATATTGCTTTTCCAGGACTTTGTGCTTCTGAGGAAAATCGCTGGGTGCCAGGAGTTGGTGTACCGAGAAAATTTTGAGAAGATGTGGTGTTGGCTGTACCCAGTAGCTTTTACATTGTCACAAGATTACATAAACACAATGTGGGATTCTGCATCACCGAAGTGGATAGAGGGCCTCATTACAAAGGAAGAAGCAGAGTCTTCACTTCAAGGTCCTGGGGGCCTTCAAGACCCTGGAACATTTGTACTGCGGTTTCCTACATCAAGGAGCTGGCCCCACCCAGATGCTGGTAATCTAATTGTGACTTACGTTGGTAGTGATTACACTATTCGCCACAGGCTGCTGTCTGTTGATTTCATTTACAGGTGTGTTTGCTATTCTCTATGTCCTTTTCCTTCTTTATTACATAATAATAGCATTCTTACATTTGGCAAGAATTTTGGTGAATTGGTATTCCGTTCCCCTATACATGTTGTAGGATGGATTGCTGAAGTAGGGACTAAATAAATAAGGGAGAGATGATTTTACAAATAAGAAACTCTTTTCATGCTAATAGTAACATCTTGATGCATTTATATTGCTCGTTCAGTAAAAGAGTGGTGGTTCATGTTAGGTTTTGTATGATATATGGATTTTAATTGGATGGATCGTGTGGAATGTTAAGCACTTCTAAAACCTTTTCACTGCATGATGTACAATTTGGTGTTCAAAACTTAGAACAAATAAATAATAAATATCTAACTGTGATGCACTAGCTGCTGGGGTATTTAATGAAGAACCTATATTTTGTATAATGGGCTACTTTTTTGCTGGTAATTCAACCTGTGGTATAGCAATTGATAACTATCATGCTACCACTACCAGGTGAACATCATGTACACACTCTCTTCTTCCAGTATTGCTTTTAATTCAAGACTCGTCACCCCAGTCTTTTGTTTAGTGACACAGATGCCTCTAGGTTTTCATTGATTTTTCTTCAGTTCTTTGACCAAATAAAAGTGCATATTTTTTGTTCTTGTTCAAGAAAGACGAATTTTCATTTCTGAAAATGACTGCAAAAGAAACCTTTTCTTTCTGCCTTTGCAGTTCTGGTGCCAGGGAAATGACTGTAAAACCACTACAAGATAT